ATACTGGCGTTCAGCAGTCAAGGTCCAATTCTGAGTGGGTCCATTCCCTAGTCTAGTGTCACCGTTTGCGATACATAGAACAATGCACTCCTTCATCAGATCCCGAAGGAACAGGAAGGCCAGCTCCACCTAGAGCAGGCAGAGCAGCAGACAGCCCTTTATTGACACACCCAGGAGTGAAAGGAGTATTGGGGACAGCGACCATTTCATATCAGAAGACAGCAGTGGCTCAGAAGGGCTGTCTTTTATGGAGCCTGGGTTTTTGCGTCATGAGTTCACTCTTAAATATAGTTCAGTTCTCAGAGCAGTTCATAATCAGCTTACTATGGAGGTGGGCAGATTTGCATCTGAATTTTGACTTTATTAATTTTTTACCTGGGGCAAGTGGCAACCTCTCTGGAGGCTGGAAAATGGGGGCCATCATAGCACTCACTGTATAGTTCATTGTCCCACAAAATGAAAAAGCACGTCAAGTGCACAACCCAGGATGCCCCCAGAATTGGTGTGCACAGGCAAGAGTGGGCACTCTGGTCACTTCTCTTCTTGGATAGAAAAGGATGACAATGAGATGGAGTCCTTATCGGAGATCTCTGAGCCCGGTGTTCCAGGTAGACAAGCTGCTTCTTCACAGGAAAGTCAGCTTGGGATCCGTATTACCTGAGTAGAAACTGATGGGAAGCAATGCAGACACTAAGAAAAGCCAACACATGGTTTGCAGGATTCTTCCACCCCAGTGCCCCTGCTGTGACATCTAGTGGTTCAGGCGGGCAATGAACTCTGTGGTCCCTGCCCCCCCCCCCCCCGAAACTTCAAATTCCAGGGAGATTTTAAGAGCTCCCGGAAGAGGTATAATTCCTTTCCATCCCTAATCTTAAGACTCACTGAACTAGATGATGGGGAAACCTCTCGATGTCTGCATGAAGGACAAGTGTGACTGACCACCTGACTGCCCCAGGTCACAGCAGTGGCTCTCCACATGCGGTCCCTGAACCTACAACATCGATGGCACAGGGGACTTATTAGAAACACACATGTTGAGCCCCGCACAGTGCTACGACAATGCCCTTTAACAAGCTTCTCTATGTCACATACCACAGGTTGCTTGTGGGTAAGATACAGAAGGAGCAAATGTGACAGGCACTAAAATCTCTGTCCCTTGGAGCAGCTCTGGGCTTTTCTGATCTTCACTTGGACTCAGACCCCAGCAGCCTCCAAATTTGATGTTTATTTTTTAAACTGTGCTTCCTTCCAAGGCATTGCAGAAGTCGGGCATTGAACCCAGGCCTGGTTCACCATAGACAGGTGCTCTACCACTCAGTGACAGCCCAAGTCTCCCCATTCAGTTTTCTGAATGAATGACCATGAGGGAGACTAACCTCACACTGTGAAGTTGCTGGCAAACTGAAATTCCTGTTAGGTGAGCCAAGGTCTGGCTTCACTGATCTCGCCCAAGTCTTGAGTGAATTACTGTTCTCTTTTAAACCAAGGAATGTTACAGATTCTTTTCAAACCTATTAAATAAAAGTTATCTTCAACTATTTTATTATATTGCTCATGGGTCAAATACTGTTTGAAAATGATTCACTTCATTTTTACTCTGTATTTTGGTGTTTTTAAAAAACACTTGCATGGGAGTCTAGGGAGATTGCTCTTCCAAAGGACCAGAGTTTGATTCCCATCTACATCAAGTGGCTTACAAACACCTATAGCTCCAACTCCAGGGGATCCAAGTCTTTGGTTCCCTGGGTACCTGCATATACCCCCACAACAGGCACACACAGATGCACATGATAAAAAATAATAAAATAAACCAACCCCTCTTCCACTGTTTGTCCAGCAAAGAGTAGCATCTATTGGCCACTCACCAGTGTAACAGTTTAGTCCAAGGTCAGCAGGGAGAGTCCACTGGGCTCTCAGTTCTGCGAGGTGGCTCTCAGCAGCCCGTCCCAGAACACTGCCTGTCTTCCTCCACGTATTGAGGAAAGGTAATCACAGACACAAGGTGTACAGCTCGTGAAGATTTCCCTCCACCAGGTGGTGGTGGCACATGCTTCTAATCCCAGCACTCAGGAGGCAGAGGCAGGCGGATCTCAGTGAGTTTGAGGCCAGCCTGGTCTACAGAGTGAGATCCAGGATGGCCAGAGCTGTTACACAGAGAAACAAGATAAGTTTTTCTTACTTATCTTGAAGAAGAAAAAAAAAAGAAAGAAAAGACAAGACTTCCCTCCTTACTATAGCCTGTCTCTCTACTCCTTTAATCACTGTCTTTTGTTACACACTTTTATTGTGTTGAGGCCAATCTATGCTTTTATATATGTTTGTCTTATGAAATTGGGTGCAACAATATTTGGTGTATATGTGTTTAGAATTGTTATAGCCTCTTAATGAACTATTTCCTTAATCAATATAAATTGACCTTCTTTATCTCTTCTGACTAATTTTTGTTTAAAGTCTACTTTGTCAGATATTAGTATATGAGTTCTGTTAAAAAAGAAAAAAAATTTTTTAAAGGAATTGCTCACAAGAGTCTGTGAAGTCCTACTTTAAAAATTGAATGTAATTATACACATACAGAAAATTATAATGAAGATATAAAGAATTCATACATTTCACCTAGATACTCATATGATAGATATGAAGATGCTCCATAGCTCTGTCCCCTCCTCCACTGTATTTTGAAAATAAATTTGAGGACATAATGGTGTAAAGCCTCATTATTCCCAAATACTTTAATGTATATTTTCTTAAGATGGTGAATATTCTCTTGTCAAAATTAGGATATTGCCATTGATCTAGTACTTTCATTTAATGAACAAACCTTACTACAATTTCACTAACTATTTTACTAATAGCTATTATAGCAAAAGAGAGACTATGACCCAGGATCTATTTCAGAAGCTCATACTGCATGTTGTTTTCAGTCTTTCATCTTGTTAAACAAACAAACAAGCAAAACCCCAAACTCAACCAGTTGTGGTGGCACATGTCTTTCATCCCAGCACACAGGATGCCAAGGCTGGCAGATCTCTGTGAGTTCAAGGATAGCCTGGTCTACATAGGAAGCTCCATGGCTGCCAGACCTACATAGAGTGACCCAGTCTCAAAAACAAAACAAATAAACAAAATACCACTGAGTAACAAGATAAATAATAATGTCAAATTAGAACCCCCAAGGGGAAGAAGCCAAACATTCGTAGGTGCAAACTGATAAATAAAATCTCTTCCTGAAAAGAACACCAGAGTCTTAGTCAGTGTTCTATTGCTGGGAAGAGACACCATAA